AAAATAAATATGTTAACATTAAAACAAACAACTAGTCATTGTGGTAATCGGGCACATAAAGCTGCCATCCAGCCCTATAATCCCTACTGCCTTGACACTGATAAAAGAAGGGCAGGAACCAGAGCAGAGCACATCGCAGACTCCTTTACAACCTGGGTGACTTGCATCAGTCTGGGGCCTTCTGAGTCACAGTACTTGGAATTTTGTCCCCTTCAGGAACTGTTTATTTTTCCAGGCTGGCAAGTGCACCAGGAACTTGGCTCCTGGTAATCATCACTAAACAAATACCTCAACACCTTTTCTGGGAATTATCAGAGCTTGGGAGTTCATTGAAAACGGGCCATTTATCACCAATGGGAAGAACCCCAAGGGAGTTTGGGGGGAATTGTTTCAGTTCAAAAGCATTCAGCCATGTGACATTTATCAGAAGAGACTTGAACACCACACAGGGACTCCCTGGAACAGCTCTGAGCTGCCACCTGCAGGTACTCATGGGAGTCGTAGAGTTTCCTGCCTTACCCCAGAGACCACCTGTAGACAGCAATAAGGCCATTGCCTACACCCTGCTTCCATCTTCATGAGTGGATTCCAGCTCCCATGGCTGTAACAAAGGGTGTTAGTTCAGGCTAACAGTGTGGGTGGAGTGGCTGACTCCAAGCAGGACCTGAGGGTCTGCTAGGCTCATCTGCCTTGTGTATGACATAAGATTGGGAGTCTTCTGCGGGGGATGACCTTAGACAGCCAGGAGTATTCTTTACTTTCCTAGATGCAGTGACAAAGCAACAACAACAAAACTGATAAAAGCAAACTTAAGAAATGGTTTGTTTTCGCCGGAACGTCTAGGGTACAGTACATCATGGTGGGAAGGTATGGCGGCAGGGACACGAGGCAGCTGGTCACACTGCACCCGCAGTCAGGAAGCTAATGCCCCCCCCACTTTCTCCTCTCCACTCCATCCAGGACCGCCGCACATAGAATGGTGCCATCCACACTTAGGGTAGGTCTTCCCATCCCAGTTAATCCAAACTAGAAAATTCCTCACAGACATGCCCAGGAGCGTTGGTGGCAACTCTAAATCCCCTCAAGGAGACAGCTAAGATGGAACTTCACACCCTGAAATGCAGCCACCATTGCGTGCTGGTTTTCAGAATCAGGGTGCTTCTGTACACCTCTAGCGATGCCTGAGGTGGAACAGGATGTATAGGTTTGGTAGAAAATCCTGTAAACTGAGCTGAAGAAAGGGCCCGATGTGAGCATTACCCAGGATTTATGTCCGAAAGTATTATTGTTGGAAGCCTGGGGCAGCCTTGTCTCCTGTGGGGGACTCAAGTGTTTGCAACACACCTGCCCTAGCATCACAGCTAAGAAACAACATTTAAACAAGAAATAGCAGCAGAGGGCTGAGGGTGTGGCTCAGTGGGTAGAGTACCCATCTACCATGCAGGAATCCCTAGGTTCCATCCCCAGCACCACCTAAACCATCTGTGGTAGCATACACCTGTCATGCCAGCATTTGGGAGGTAGAGCCGAGAGCAATAGTTTAAAGTCATCCTTGGCTACACAGAAGAGTGAGAAGAACCTGGTTACATGAAACCCTGTTTCAAAAAAGATGAAAGGAAGGAAGGAGGGAGAGATGGGAGGAGGCAGGGGAGAGAGAGGGGAAGGGTGGGAGATGAGGAAGGAAGGAAGGAAGGTAGGAAGGAAGGAAGGAAGGAAGGAAGAGTTCAGTTACCAGCAGGACATTGCCGGCAGGTGTCAGGAGCAGTCTTCAGTCAGAGCACAGGCCTCTTCAAAGTCATTAGATATACTTCCTCAAGTGGATCAGGGAGATGGTGAGGAGATGTCTAGTCAGTAAGGTGTTTGCTGGGCACCCATGAGGACCTGAGTTCAGGTTCCTAGCATGAATGTAAAACAAAACAAAAAACCCCACTAGGTATGGCATCCTGCATCTGTAATCTCAGAATTAGGAGGTAGAAGAAACAGATGACTCTTTTGTCACCCAGTCTAGGTACATTGCCAAGATCTAGGTTCAGTGAGAGACCCTACCTGTCTCAAAAAATGGAGAATAATAAAGACACCAGGTGTCTTCCTCTGAACACCACACCACACACACACACACACACACACACACACACACACACACACACACACACAGAGAGAGGGGGGCAGGGAGGGTACCCTGCCCAGCACCTATCAGTGAGCACTGTAACCCCAAAGGGGCCTCAGAGGGACCTGTGCAAGTGAAGCAAGAGACAATGCCTTTCAGCAGAATGGGGAGAAGCTGCAACATGCAGACTATAGAGCTGCACTGGTCTCCAGGCAGGCTCACAGACTGCAGCAAGCTCGGGAATTGCAATGGCCTCAAGGGTTACAATGAGATTAAGGAGGCCATGGTCCCACCTGCAGCACCTGCCCTTGTCTTGAAACTGAGGGGAGCCTAAGGTTCTCTTCTTCTTTATCCAATGAAAGAAACCCAAGAAACTTCACTGACCTGGATCTGGGCCTTTAACCCAGTTGGGGACAGAAGCAAGTAGAGGATAGTGACAATCAGGTTGTGATGCTGAAGGGAGCCAAGCTGCCTGTTAGCCCAGTGGCTGGGGGCAATGTAGCCCTAAAACACCTGCTTCTTAGAAGCCCCAATGTAACACTTAATCCTCTTTTTATTCTTAGAGAATTTCATACGTGAATATAATAACTCAGTCCTTCCAACTTCTCCTGTGCGCCCCATCCAGATTTTTCTCTCAACTTCATATCCTGTTCTAACTTTTTAAACATATAACTGTAACATGAAAAATAAAAGACCCAGAGACTGATATTGAGGTTCAAACTTCAAGCTGAAGTTCAGAAAAGCAAAGCACCTGCCCACTAGCTTCTTACCTCTATCTCAGGCTGAATGGGCTGATCCTGTCTCCATGAGCTCTCACCAAGTGCCAGACTGTAATCTGTCCTCAGCGTGACTGGAGAATGAATGCCTCCTACTGAATACTGAAGACCCTGCTTCTATCTTTTATACCCATTTAGTGCTGGGATTAAAGGCATGTGATCTGTTACTCTTAGACTGATTCAATCTCATGAATCCCTGGGTGGCCTTGAACTCAGAGAGATCAATCTATTTCTTAATCCTGAGTCCTGGAATTAAAGGTGTGTGCCTGGCTTCTGTGGCTTGTGGCTGACTTTGCTTTGTGAATCCTCATGCATGCTTTAATAAATCATAAATAATACATCACTACATATAACCTACTGAGTCCAGTTGGTATTGCCTGTGTGCACATGGGTGTAGTGCTGGCTCCTAGAGCTTGGACAACCTACCAAGGTACATGTCCCTGAAGAAAACTGGCTGGCTTTCCTAGTAGCACCAGACCCAGGGAGTAGGCTTTGTGATCCCTTCTCCCATCTGTGCTGGAATCAAATGGTTTATTACGGCTCTCAGAGAGGTAGCCACAGCTGTTGAGAGTTCTTGAGTGCATTGGCAATTTGACTTAAATTTGAAACCACCTAGAAAACACACATGGGTGTGCCTGTGAGAGCATATTCCCAGAGGGATTTAACTGAACTGGGAAGACCCACCCTGCATGTGGGTGGCACCATCCTATGGGGTAGTGTCCCATATTAATAAAAAGGAGATTGCAAGCTGAAGACCAGCGCTCATCACTATCTGCCTCCCTGACTAGCCACCACTCCTCCTGTAGCCACATCTTCCTAAGCATGATTTGTTGTGATATCATTAAATACATAGAAATTTTAGGTAGAAGACCCCTAGTAAATGTCACTCCTACAAAGGAGAAAGGAACAGATAGATGAGGACTGTCAGTCAGTGATGCTTTATTTCTTTGGAAATTGTTTATAGTTCTTAGGAATGAATAGAGAAATCTTAATTGTTCAAAAATGTTTGTATTTGAACTATCCCAGATATTTCATCGACTTTTTTTCAAAGATAGTGAATTTCAAAGCCTAAATGGTTACTGAAAACCAAATATTTATTGAGCAGTGTGTGTGTGTGTGTGTGTGTGTGTGTGTGTGTGTGTGTGTGTATGTGGGTGCGGGTGCTTGTGTGGGCGGGAAGGGGGCATTGGGATAGCACTGAGATTCCTACACATGTGACTCCACCTTTATGGGATTCCAAATCCAGGGCAGGTGAGGCCCAGTGTGTGGTGGTGAAGTCCACAGTGAGCAGGTCAGGTGGGTCCCTTCGAAGAAGGCAGATTTCCCCAACCTGGCAGCTCCACTCACAGTGAGTACAATGGATGAGCAGGGATGGAGCCCAGTTGGTAGAGTGTTTGCCCACTATGCTCAGAAAGCCCTGGGTTCCATTCTCAGCACTGCATGGCTATGCATGCCTGTAATCCCAGCACTTACAAGCTAGAGAAAAGATCAGAAACTCTGGATCATCCTTGGTGTGACAGTTGGTTTTAATTGTGAATGTGACACAATCTCAAGTCACCAGAAAAGAAGCTTTCAATGTTGGATTACCTAGATCATGTTGCCCTGTGGGTATGTCTATCAGGAATGATCTTGATTACATTTTTTGATATGGGAAGACCTGTTCACTGTGGGGGGCATCATTCCCTAAGCAGGGGATCCTGTACTGTGTGAGAGAGAGAGCAAGAGAACTGAGCACAAGCAGGTATGCATTGCTTCATTGCTCCCTGCTATTGGCTGTGGGAGTAGCTGCCTCAAGATCCTGCTGCCTCAATTTCTCTACAACAATGAACTGTAACCTGACATTGAGAGACGAATAAGCCCATTCTCCCTTAAGTTGCTTTTGTCAGGGAAACAGAACCAGACACTTGGCTATTCAGCAAGTTGATGCCAGCCTAGGCTACATGAGAGTCTATTTCCAAATCTTTCTGTCAGTGTGGGACAGGAAGTGCCAACTGATGTTGGGTGTCACTTATTGCTGCTTGCTGTGCTTCCTGGGTCTCTATTCCTTTCTAAGTTAGTTAAAGAAAGTTAAAAAGAAAAATGACGTGTTCCATTTCCTTCTTGTGCTTGTTTTGCAGCAAAAGTTATGTGATCCCCCTGCAGTGCAGCTGTCCCGTGGATTTTGAATTCCACATCACTTTGCTTCGGTCTCATCAGGCCTTTACAATTGAGCCAAAGTCAGGTGAGGATGGTGTGATGTCACACACCCGACCGCCCAGCGATCTCAGGTCAGAGGCAGAACTTGGAATATTAGTTGCTTTCTTTGTCGCTGTGGCAAAAACAATGTAAGGAAAGGTTTGTTTGTCTCACAGTCTAAAGGGGTGGAAGAGGTAGGGAAGACATGGAGCATAGCGGCAGGAACAGGAGGCAGCTGGTCACATGGCATTCACAGTCCAGAAGCAGAGAGATGGATGTTTGTGCCCAGCTCATCTTCCTTTATATTCAGCCCAGAATCCCAGCTACTGGAGCAGCACTGCCCACATGCAGGGCAGGTCTTCTCACCCCCCACCCCTAGACATTTCTGGAAGCACTCTCATGGACACTCAGGGCCCTGTTTACGTGGTGACTCCATAAACACTAGCCAGCATGTTTGGAGGACACACACACATGCAAACATGCACACGCGTACATGCATGCCCCCCCACACCCACACACACATGAAAATGGAGAGGCTAAAACGGGTCAAGTGTAAACTGTTTCAAGACACATTTCTTCTTACAAACAGCTTGGTGGTAACTGAGCCCACCCTAAGTTACTGCTTGCTTATGTGGCCTAAAGCCTGGAAGTTCAGTTTTCAGGCGCATGGTATGCACCGGCGCTCATCCCAGACCCACAGGTCAGTGTGTCCTTTAAGCCTTGTCCCATTTTACAGACAAGAAAGCTGAGCCTCAGTTAATGCATTCAAGCTGAGTTGCAGAGTTCCTAAATGACCAAAGAGAATTGTGATGGAGGCCCAGTGACCCTTGAGGCCATTCTCTTGCCCCAGGCCCTGTCTCACCACTTTGAGGCAGAAGGGGGCCCTGTCTTCTTGATGCTTTCCTCCACAACCCCAGTGCTAGAACTTATCAAAGCCTGTCTGTAGATGACTTTTACACGATTCAGCTGTTAACTGTGGGACCCTAACTCTTAGAAGGTTAAAACTCAAGTCTCCAAGTATGAGGCTTAGATGGCTCTATGACAATTCATGGGAATAATCTATACTTCCGAGCTGCTGGGAGGAAACATTTAAAGCTTATAATAACATAGGTGATCTCACTTACATGTGGAATCTAAGAAGTTTGGTCTCATAGGGTGTAGCTCAGTTGACAGAATGCTTGCCCAGCATGAAAGGGACCCTGGGTTCCACCCTCAGCCCTGCATAACTACACACCTGTAATCCCAGCACTCATCTTCAGCCACAGAAAGTGAAGGCATGAGACACATAAGACTGCCTCTCTTTTTTTGTTTGTTTTTGGCCAAGTGTGCCGATGCATGCCTTTAATCCCTGCATTCAGGAGACAGATGAAGGTGGATCTCTGGGAGTTACAGGCCAGCCTGGTCTACATAGGGAGCTTCAGGACAGCCAGGACAATGCAGAGAGACCCTGTTCCAAAAAATTAAAAAAAAAAAAACAATTTTTAAAAGTATTTTATGGACATAGAGACTAGACCAGTGGTTATCAAAGGCTGGGGCCAGGAGGTGGGATGGTGAGCAGGCTCCAGTTAGAGGGAGTAAATGCACAGTAGAGTACCGAGGCCAATAACATGGAGTTCAAAAGGGCTCGAAGCAGGGCTGAAGAGAGGCCAGTCGGTAGAGTGCTTGCTACACATGTCAACCTTGATCTCCAGCACCCATGTAAAAGCCAGGTGTGGTGGTGCTTGCTGCAATCCAGTAATAGGGATGCAGTGGACAGGAGCCCTGGCACTTGCTAGCCAGATAACATAGCCAGCCAGTGAGCTCTGTGTTCACTGAGAGGCCCTGTCTCAAAAAGGAAGGTGGCTGTGGTAGTTTGAGTAGGAATGGCCCCCACAGATTCAGGTGTTTGAATGCTTGGCCCATAGGGAGTGCCACTATTAGGAGATGTAGCTTTGTTGAAGCAGGTGTGGCCTTGTTGGAGGAAGTGTGTCACTGTTGGGGTGGGCTTTGAGGTCTTATATGTTCAAGCTATGCCCAATGTAGCAAGCACAGTTTCCTTCTCTTGCCTGTGGATCAAAATATAGAACTCAGCTGCTTCTCCAGCACCACGTCAGCCTGCATGGTCAGCACCATGTCCCACCATGATGATAATGGACTTAACCTCTGAGCTGTAAGACACCCAATTAAATGTTTTCCTTTATGAGAATAGCCATGGTCATGTTGTCTCTTCACAGTAATAGAAACCCTAACTAGGGCAATATGGGATGATTTTTACATGTTTTCCCCAACTGAGCCTTACTGCCCTAAAAAACAATGTGCTTTTATTTTCCGTCTTCTTTTAGTCACTGCCCATGGCTATATTTTCTTAGTTTATTTACATATTTAAATATGTCCCTGTACATGTTTATATTACTTTATTTACATACTTAAGTACACCTTTGTTTGCTTTATATTAGTATCACCTACCAAATGACAGAGCAATATTTCCTGGTAGAGACTTCATTGTTCCGTGTTGTTGTGTGTTCTTCATAATGCTTGCATTGATAAACTATGGCCTTACTTATTTTTATTTTTATTTTTTTATTTTTATTTATGTGTGTGTATCCATGTGTATGTATGCCATTGGCATGCAGTGTTCATGAAGGTCTGAAGAGCTGGAGCTGCCTGCCGTTGGTGCTAGAACCAACTCAAGCCATCAACAAGAGCAGCAAATGCTCTTAACCACTGAGCCATCTCTGCAGCCAGGACTTTCTTGGCTTTGAGTTTTTGTTGTTACTATTATTTGTTGTCTGCTATTGTTTGTCTTACTGGGTGGTGCAGATCTCCAACCTAGACCTGGAGCTCCTCATGCCATGGTCTCCTGAGTCCTGGGATCTGGCACCACACATCACCATACCCATCTTCCCAACCAGTGACTTAACATAATTCGTTATTCCTGGCTGCCCTGGAGGTAGTGATCTGTAATTGATCCAAGAATAGTGGGTTGGGCTTTATATTTTTCTATTACCTTTTAACGTACATATTTCACATACTTGTGTGTGCATATGTTTGCATTGTGAGCAGAGGACAACTTTCTCGTTTGTTCTCTTCTACTATATGGGTCTGGAAGTCAAACTCTGGTCATAAGGCTCGACAGTATTCACCTTTACAGCGAGCCATCTCACTGCCTGCTCCACAGACACACTTGTTTGCAGGGTGGCCTAGAAGTCACTTTGTAGCCAAGGATAACCTTGAATTTCTGATCCTGCCACCTCTACCTCCTGAGTGTTGACACCAGTAATGCTGTTTTGTGTGGGGTTGGGGATCTTCATGCATGCTGGGTAAGCACCCTAAAGACTGAGCCACACCCCCAGCCCTGAGATAGAATTTTCAAATGAGGTTAAAAATTGAGAATACCTTCCTTATGTATAAAACATCACTCCTTTGTGCCACTATGAATTTTGGCCAAGTATTAGCTACCAAAAGTTGGCACATATTTTACAACTGTCAACATTGCACAGCCTGCCACCGTCATGTTCAAGTGAAGGAGCTGCACTAACAGGAAAAAAAAAAAAAAACACCGAACAAAACAAAAACCAGCTTACTGTGGTTGCCTGGACTACGTCTTCACAGCAGGCTTTCTGTATTATGTCTAGGTGGGGAGCACTTAACAAAATTAATCACCCAGGTCAGGGTAACATTAATCCTTGCCCCAGAGCTTGTCCTTGTGTTTTTAAGTTAATGAGCTGGAATAAAGAAGTAGGATGCTCTTGACCTCAAGTCCTGAATGGTCTGCAGATCCCACAGGGTGATGTTCTGACCACATAATGGTATTAAAGTCTCTTCAGTTGGGTTTATCTACCCAAATGATCTGCTGTTGGCCTGCTGATCCATTGTCTCTGGTGGCTCTTTCTATGTGGCCCTGGGCTTAAGATGCAATAGTGGCCATCACTTAACCATTTTGACCTCTACCTGTGCTCAGGAAATTAACAAATGCCTACTGTGTGTGTGTGTGTGTGTGTGTGTGTGTGTGTGTGTGTGTGTGTGTGTGTGTGTTCGTGAGTGTGCACATGTGCATGGGCATACTGGGATGCCTCCCTTAATTGTTTCCTCACCTTACCTTTTGAGGCAGGGTCTCTCACTGTTTCTGCTAAGCTGGCCTGTGAGCTCCAGGCATCCTCCTGTCTCCACCCCTCCCAGTGCTGGGGTTACAGATGTGTTTGCTTTGTCAGGTTTTACATGGGAGTTGGGGATCCCAACTCAGATCCTTATGCTTGTACAGCAAATACTTGTACAGCAAACATTCTCTGAGCCATAAACCCAGTCTTCCATATTATTTATATGATACAATGTTTTTCAATGGTATTTTCACATATGTATGTAATGTTTTTTGATCATATTCACCCCTACTACTCTCCCTGGTCCCCTACCACTCCCACTGATCCTGCTGTTCCTAACTAGCCCCCCTTCTAATTCCATGTCTGTGTTCCACTGTGTTTCTTGAAGGATTGCTTACAGCAACATGGGCACCTTGCCAGTGGCTACACCACTGGAGAGAATATCTCTACCTCTCTTAGAAACTATTAACTGCCCGTTTTTAAAGTACCATAGGAGGGGTTCAGGTAGGTAAAATAGCTGTGAGCTGGTGTCTGTCTTAGGTGCTTGCAATTTCCCTGGAAGGAAATATTCAGGTAGGACCTACACAGAGACATCACACAGTTCTGACAACTTGTCAGACTACCTTGCAGGGAGAATGGCCATGAGTAGTGAAAAGCCAGTGATGGCCAGGACCACACCTTGACCAGGACAGCTTAGCTATGCACACCTCTTCTGTTTAAATCCGAACCTCATATGGACTTGGGGGTCATTGGGCCTCTTCATTCTCCTAGGTACACTGGCTAGATCTCTTTTTTCTGTTTTTCATTATTAGTTTGTCTCTTTAATGGCTTATTGAGGATGAGTGGTAGAGCCTGACTTGTTAGGGCTGTGAAGGCTCAGGCTGTGATCTTAACAACCCCTGGACACACAGTGTTCTAAGCCCAATTGGTACCAGAGATACAAAGAAGTAATAAGGCATAGCCTGCTGTTTGACAGAAGAAGGAACACCAGTTCATCCAAATGATTTGAAAGGAGGGGGGCTGGGGGTGTAGCTTTGTGGTAGAGCAACTTGCCAAGCATGGATAAGGCCTTGGACTCCAGCCCCAACACGAAATAAAGGGAAGGAGGGAGAGAAGGAGGGAGGGAGGGAGGGAAGGAGGGAGATTTGGAGGAAAGAATAAGTTACAGAAAAACACAGGGAATTAAACTATCTAGAACAAAACTCCTAGCTGTGTGTTCCTAGTTTTCCAAGTTGCTTACAGCATGGGCATTGCATTCTGGTTGTTGCTCTAGGGTCAGCATTCTGGGACTTTACATTTGAGGCACTAATGCAGATAGATTTGTCCATATTTGTATAACCACACGATCAGATAGTTATTGGAAAGGATTTGTGTCGTCACTGATAAGCAAGGTCTGTGTCAACACTCAGAAGTTGAGTCATGTGCACTTTGAAGAGTAGAGTGAGCAGAGGCACACCCATGATATGCTGGGAAGATGGGGTTGGTGTTACCTCGTTAGCTGCATTTGGTAAACAGAACAGATACCTCTGTGATGGCTAATCTTGCCTGACAATGCCAGAAGGGGAAAAAAACTAGACAGGGCATGGGTTCATCAAAGTGGGATATCCCATTCCATGGCCTGGGTCCCAGACAATAAACAGGAGAAAGGGAGCTGAGCACAGCATCCATCTCTCTGCTTCCTGACTGTGGCCGCCGTGTGACCAGCTGCCTCACACTCCTGCCACCATGACTTCCCACCATGATGGACTGTGAACCCTCAAACTGTGAGCCAAAACAAACCCTCCCTTCCTTAAACTGCTTTTGTTGGGCATTTTTGTCACAGCAACAAGAAAAGCAACTGATCAAATCACATCCCCCCTCTTCTCCTTACAGGAATAATTCCAGCTAACGGGAAGGCAACAGTAACTATCAATTTCACACCCATCCAGTATGGGATGGCACAAATAAAAATTCAATTGTGGATCTCACAGTTCAACTCGCAGCCATACGAATGTGTCTTCACTGGAACCTGCCACCCCAACATGGCCTTACCGTATGGCTTCTTCATCATGTTTCTGTCTACTCAGGTAGCCCAGGCTGGCTTCAGACTCACTATAGAACCAAGATGATTTTGACATTCATCCTGCCTCCACCTCCAGAGTGCTAGGATTACAGACATGCACCCCTATACCTAGTCTCTTTGGTGCTGGGTATAGAATCCAGGGCACTATGCATTCTAGACAAGCACTCTACCAACTAAGCTATAGCCACAGCCCCAATTTTTTCTTAACACTTCATCAAAAATGCAGTCCAGTCCAGTTATGAACATTGTGGTGCACACTTGGAATCCCATCACTGAAGAGGCTGAGGTGGGAAGATCATGAGTTCAAAGGCAGCCTGGACTACATAGCAAGAACCTGCCTTTAAACAAACAAGAAGAATCCAAATTTTCTCTCTTTTCCTGTAACACCCCCCAGACGTTTGTTTTTAAAGCTGGGAGTGCATGTCAGTCATCGGTCTCTTGCCTGGCATGTGCGTAGCCCCAGGCTCAACCCAGCACTACAAAAACAACATTTGAATTACAAGATGAGTATACATAAAAGTCTCTAAAGCATAGGGCCAGGTGTCCCACCAACCTAGCCAGAAGCCCACCCCGGTTTTGTTTTTGCTTTCCAAAGAGCATAATTATTCTTTTCCTAGCAAAGTAAATCAAAGTCATGGTTTCTAAAATAATCAGCTGAAGCTGTTGAAGAGCTTCCCGCAAGAAACAAATTATGCTAGACCACCAGAGCATCCCCTAGCCTGTTGCGCCTCCACTTCTCATATTCATGAGGAATGCAAAGGAGAGATGGCTCTGCATGTAAGGTGCTTGCTGCCATGGCTGACGACCTGAGTTCCTTACCTGGGACCCACATAGTGGAAGGAGAGTACTGTTGTCCTCTGACCGCCACATGGATGCCATCACACACACACACACACACACACACACACAAATGTATTTTTTTAAGAATGGGAAGGAAGGCAACCACTGGTGTATAATTTGTCTGCATACATAAATAATATATGCTCATGTATGTGATATTAATATGCTAATATGAAATTTGTTTCCATGGACTCCTTTTGACACACAAACTTCTTTCAGTTTAGTTATAATATTGATCCACAAGTGATAGTTTTATCAGAAAGAACACAAAAACAAACCCCTTGATCAGGGAGGGGGCGTGTTTTAGAGCTGGGTCAGTGGTTAAGAACACTGGCTGGCCTACCAGAAGGCCTGGGTTCAGTTCCCAGCACCTGCATGGCAGGTCACAGCTGTCTGTTACTCCAACTCTGGGAAATCAGGTGCACTCTTTTTGGCCTCATCAGGTATACAGGCAACAATCATAAAATAAAAATAAATCTTTAAACTGTTGCATTATATACTAACTTCCCATCTGTTTTAAACTCCAGATTAGAAGAGTTCAAGAGATTAAATACTCGTTCTAGGAAAGTAAATGTTCCTCCAGAAAAAACAATGTATGCACACTTTTACCAAAGTCCCAAGAAGGCCACACCTAAAACGCCGAAGGTACATTGGGGGCGGGGCACCCCCAGTGCAATGGAAAGGCAGAGAGAAAAGAACTCATCCCTCCCACCTTGGTCCTCAGGAAATCGAGTACCAGGACCTGCGGTTTCCAGCAAATCTGTCCAATCCATTCGCCGTGGCAACTGTCCTAAACCAAGAGCCGGGAAAGTTGAAGATTAAGGAATTAAAACAAGGTAACTGCCACTTGGTCTACCATAAACCAGTCCCTGGGGCAGAATAAGAGAGAAATGTGTCCAACCATATTTATTATTTATGAACAAAACTCAGTTAGATGTCTGTTAGGCGGCATGGTAAGAAACACACTTGTGTTTGTCTGGGCAAGTGACTGATTTGATTACAGCCATGATCTCTGCCCGCTCCTGCCTCCAGTCTTGGACCAAGGTGACGAAATCTCCAAAACCAGACAGATGAAGGAGGCGCTCTTCGAACAGAAAGTCAGACAGAATATTGCGGAAGAGAGCGAGAACCATCTTAAGTGGTAAATATTGAGGGAAATGTGTATCAAGTGTCAGGGTGACTGCTTTTAGGGGATGGCCTTTGATGCAGGAGACACAAAGGCGTACAATTACTGATAAACTCCCTTGGTGAATTCAATTATTCCTTCTCCTCAGCTGGTGTTTCTAGCTCAGAATGGGTGGCTATTAGAAATAAATTATTGTAACTAAGACATGTTGTTTCCTACACATAGCAGACAGGGCAGGATAACAGTGAACTGTGGGAGGCTCAGCCCCTCCTCCCTGCCAGCTATGGCTGCCTGCCACCCCAGCCCCCAAGCAGTGGGAGCAATTGGGGACAGCCCTGGCAGCAGATGTTCAGGGAGAAGCATTCTTGTGCTTCTGAGGTCAAATGGACTTTTTCTTTTTATATTAGTTTAAACTATGGAATCCCACGAGCCTCTCCATGTGTTCATCTTCAGTAGGTCAATGAAAATGCACATGCCCCATTATTTTTTTTTCTAGAGAAACATTTGATTTCTTAAATCATGTATTTAAACTTCAAACACTATCTGTTTGGAAGTTGTATGTGGTAATACATACTATGACACACCTGTGGAGGCCAGAGGACAACTTTGCAAGAGTTAGTTCTCTCCTTTCACCATGCAGGTCCCAGAGATTGAACTTGGTGTGTCAGGCTTGGTGGCACTAAGCCATCTCACCTGCCCATATTTTAATCTCTTCTAATTTACAGTTTAAAAGAAATACTAAATTAACGTACTAGCCAATGGTGCAAAGTTTAGTCACAGGCTTCTGTCACTTAAAACATTTTCAAGAGTCATCCACATCTCAGCATTTATGAATAGTTCCCCTTTTGTGACTGTATAATATTCCACTGTATAGTATGCCACATTTCAACCACTAGGTTGTTTTTTTGTTGTTGTTTTGTTTTTTTGTTTTTGTTTTTTTTTTTTCATCAGCAACACTGGAGAGGCACAGTTTTTCTACATCCTCAGCAACACCTGTTGCTTTGTATGGCTTAGATCTGCATTTCCCTGACTACTAGTGATGCTGAGCATTTGGTGTGTGTGTGTGTGTGTGTGTGTGTGTGTGTGTGTGTGTAAGAGAAAGTGTATGTGAATATATGAGTGTGAGAAAAAGAGTATGAGTGTGTGTGTGAGAGAGACAGGTGTGTGTGTGTGTGTGACAGAGTATGTGTGAATGTGAGTGTGTGATAGAGTGTGTTTGTGGGGGAAGAGACAGAATGTGTGTGTTAGAGTATGTGTGTGAGTGTGTGTGTAAAAGACTGAGTACTGTGTGAGTGTGAATATGAGAGATGTGTGTGAGTGTGTGTGTAAGATAGACCGAGTGTTGTGTGAATGTGTGTGTGTGTGTGTGTGTGTGTGTGTGAGAGAGAGAGAGAGAGAGAGAGAGAGAGAGGATGTGTGTATGACAATATGTGTATGTGTGAGATATCATGAGTGTGTGTGAATGTGTGTGAGTGGGGGAGAATATTGTGAGAGAGAGAGACAGTGTGTATATGTGTGTGTGAGAGAGGATGTGTGATAGTGTGTGAGAGAGAGAAAGAGAGAGAGTGTGTGTGTGTGTGAGAGAGAGAGAGAGAGAGAGAGAGAGAGAGAGAGAGAGAGAGAGAGAGAGAAGAGAGCTTGTGGAAGCTAGAAGTAAACCTCAGGTTTTGCTCCTCAGGTGCCATCCACCTTGTATTGTTTGTTTTAAAGATTTGTTTCTTTTATTTTATGTGTGATCCTATTTTGCCTGCATGTTTGTTGGTGCATTGTGTTACCAGTGGAAGCCAGAAGAGGTCATCAGATCCCCTGGTACTGGAGTTACAGTCCCTTGTGAGTTGCCATGTGGAACCTGGATCCTTTGGAAGAACAGCCTGTGCTCTTAACCACGAGCTGTCTCTCTAGCCCCAACCTTGTTTTCCGGGACAGGGCCTCTGGATGATCTGGAGCTCACCAAGCAGACTGGGCTGACTGTCATGGGATATCTCTGCATCTCCACAGTACCGGGATAACAAGAGCATACCACCACTCCTGGCTTTTTGTGCAAGGCTCCTGCTCCTGGGGACTAAACTCAGGCCCTCGTGCATGCAAAGCAAACACTAGACCGAATGAACCATCTCTCAGGCCCTTGTTGCATTAATTTGTAGACATCTTAGCATAAGTCACCAGAAGATAGGCTTTCTTCTTCTCTCTTCTTCTTCTTCTTCTTCTTCTTCTTCTTCTTCTTCTTCTTCTTCTTCTTCTTCTTCTTCTTCTTCTTCTTCTCCTTCTCCTTCTCCTTCTCCTTCTCCTTCTCCTTCTCCTCCTCTTCCCCCTCCTCCTTCCCCTTGTCCTCCTCCCCCTTCTCTTCCTCCTTCCCCTCTGCCTTCCCCTCATCCTCCCCTCCTCTTCCTCCTTCTCCTCTTCCTCCTTCTCTTTCCTCTACCTCCTCCTGCTTCTTCCTCTTATTTTCTTCTCCTTCCTTTGGTTTTGGTTTTGGTTTTTCAAGATGGGGTATCTCTATGTAGCTCTGTCTGTCCAGGAATTTGCTCTGTAAACCAGGCTGGCCAGAGATCCACCTGCCTCTACCTCCCAAGTGCTGGATTAAAGATGTGATAGCACCATTACCTGTGATAAGCTTCATTTCTCATGGGACATATTATTCACCCCAGAGGTGACTCCTTCCAGTTTTTCTCCATTTCTTCTTGGTTATAAAATATAGCTAAAACACTCATTGTAAGGACGATATTTGCTGATGGCTTCTCGAGGTTGTTGTTTTTTTCTCCACAGGCAGGTGCACCTTGGTAAAGAGCACACAACTTTAAAGTTTAGAAAAGATCTCAGTGATGAGCGGCAAAAATCATATGAGAAGTACAAGGTCAGAATGACTGCTAATTTGATATCATTTATTTCACTACATCTTTTTAATTCCTATTGTATTCAAGACACCATATCAGGAGAAAGAAAATGCATAAGAAAGCTGAGATTAGCACTGAATGTCAGAGCATTTGCCTTGTATGTGTGAGGCCCTGGGCTCAATTCCGAGAGAGAGAGAGAGAGAGAGAGAGAGAGAGAGAGAGAGAGAGAGAGAGAATCAAAGAGGGGAAAGGCAGAGGGCTGATCACACATAAATTGCTAATTACAAGTGGGGTGTCTATAGATGACACAAGAGACCTATGCTGCGTCTGCTTGGGACATTCAGAAACCAGAGAAAGAGTGAGTTCAGTCTAAATAGAAAGCAAGAATTAGCAGAAAGAACAAAGTCCATCAACCGGAGGTGATAACTCAGGCTCGGGCCATGGTTTGGATATGAGGTTCCTTCCCTGTGGTCTGCAGAGCATGGAGGTGAGAGACCCCAAATCGTTGTCAGGAGCCACCCAAGAGCTGTATGGAAGGTATAGTCACATACCATGGTGTTAGGTGTTGAGGCATTGGCATATGAATTTTAGGGGATCCAGTTCATCACCCCGCCCCAAAACCCAGCAAAGCTTAGTAGTGTGAACTTCAGGATCTCAGTGAGTAGGAAGGATCTGGAAATGGCCAATTTTTTTTAAAAAAAAATTAAATTGTAATTATGTATACGTGAGTGAGTGTATGTGAGTACGCATCAGTGAGTGGGTGCCTGCGGGGCTGGAAGATGCTATCTGCTCCCCTGGAACTGGAGCTCCAGGTGGTTGTGAGCTGCTCAACACAGTGGTAGGCTCCTCTGCAAGCCCAGCAACCACTCCTAACTCCCAAGCCACCTCTGTGACCTCTGTGGCCAGCCTTTGGGACATTACAGCCTTTGGGGCATTACTGCCTTTGGGGCATTACCATATGTTGTCATATACAGAGTTCACACCGAAGGACCTGCAATCAAGTTACCAAAAAAAAAGCATTGTTTTAAAGTCCCATGTTTTGTGAGGGACTGATTCCTAGCTAGCTGGGGCTCTCTGTGAGGTGGGGGCAGGAAAATAGAAGCTCAGGGACATCTTCAGACACATAGTAAATCTGAGACCAGCCTGGGCTACAAGAGACCCTTGTTGCTATTAAAGCTCCCCATGTCTGAACAGTAAGAAAAATGAACACTTTAACTTGCCAGTACTCCATGGCATGGCATAGGTGACCCATTGTCCAGTAGGTTCCACGAGCTTTATTTTTGTTTTGTTTTACTTTTTATTTGGTGTGTGTGTGTGTTAGGTGGTTAGGTGTTTGGGGTTTTTTCTTTTTCTTTTTTTGGTTATGTTGGTTTGTTCTTCAAGATAGGGTTTCTCTGTGTAGCCCTGGCTGTCCTAGAACTTGATTTATAGACCAGAGTGGCCTCAAACTCCAGAGATCCACCTGCCTCTGCCTCCTAGGTGCTGGGATTAAAGGGGTATACCATCACTGTCTGACTTCCCACAAGCTTTAAAGAGAAATTATATGCATTCATCTTTGACTTTAATATGTCTCCTCATATAAAAATCCAGCAAAAGCGAGATGACCCTGTTTTGGAGGAAGAATTTCAACGACTCGTGACTGATCGGAAGAACAGGAGGATCGTCCGTGATCTGGAGGATGTAAGTAACTTCTCTTCACTTGGAGGTGATCTGGAGGAGGGTAAGTGCTTCTCTTCACTTGAAGGTGAGCTGGAGGAGGTGAGTAACTTCTCTTCATATGGAGGTGAGCTGGAGGAGGTAACTTCACTTGGAGGTGAGCTGGAGGAGGTAAGTAACTTCACTTCACTTGGAATCTAATCAAGTGCCAATCCTTTAACTGTTCATTTCCAAAGGCACCAACAAGTTTCATAGCAATCCCTTCACCAGGAGGGAACAGTTGTTTTTAGTATGCTTGTATTTCCCAGGTGCTGCCTTACTGTGTCTTGGTTTCCTTTCTGGCAAAAAGTAACTTAAAGAGCCTGAAGGCAGCTCTGTGGTTCTGAGTCCATGCTGCTCTCTCTAAGGATCCAAGTTGAGTTCCCAACTTCCATGTCAGGATCTCAAAGCATCCTAGAACTCCATCTCTAGTGTATCTGATGCCCCCTCCCCTGGACTCCACTGGCATCTCACTCACAGGAGCACACACCCACACACAGGGAATGAAGGTTTATTTGGCTCACAACCACAATGTATTGTCAAGGGGACTCAAGGCAGGAGCTCCCAGGCAGGCCTGCTCAGTACTCCACAAGCTCACTTCACAGCCAAAGAAGTACCCAAAACCCATGGAGGGACACTTGCTAGCTGGCTCACAGGAAGGCTTACACTTAGCTTTCTTAAACAATCCAGGACTATCTACTAAGGTATGTTGCTTCCCAGGGTGGGCTGGGCCCTCATACCATTTAACAATTGAGATAAGCCCCCAAGCCCCACCACCACCACCCCACGTGCCCACGGGAAGTCACATTCAGGTGATGCCTGATGTCTCCAGGCCGTGACAATCTAAAGCAAACTAGGATGCTACATATTTGCAAGTGAGATGTCCAAACTTACAATTATGGTCTGGGATATCGATATGCTCAGCTGGCAAAGTGCATGCCACACAAGCTTGAAGGCCTGAGATCAATTCTAGTACCCACATAAAAAGCCAGCTATGGTTTCAGGTGCCTATAACCCCAGAACTGTGGATCTAGAGCCAGTCGATTCAAAGTAGTGAGCTCCACTTTCAGCAAGAGACTCAATGAAGCAGGGGCTGGAGAGATTGCTCAGTGGTAAGAGCACTGGCTGCTCTTCTCCAAGAAGACCAAGGTCGGATTCCCAGCACCAACATGGAAGTTCTGAAGGTTGAGCTCACGTCTTCGGGCTTTGTGGCAAGCACTTTTACCCTCTGAGCCACCTTGCTGCTGTCTGTTTCTGCTTGTTTTGATAGTCTCTTGCTAAGTAGGCCAGAATCACTTCAAATTCATGATGCTCCTGCCTCAGCTTCCTGAATGCTGGCATTACAGAGATCAAACTCTAAAATGTTTACTAAATGCTCATGCCAAAGAGTTTGTATTTGAATGTAAGATGTGTGTATGCTTTTATCTTCACAGAAAATCCAGGAATTGCACCCTAATTTTGAACCACTCATTAACAATATGTGGCTCAACAGATACCGGGCACAAAGACGGTTTCAGCAAGCAGCGCGCAAGGTAACTCTCAGCTCTAGATTGCCATCTTTAGTTTTTCACTTGTCTAGTTGCCAGCAGGGGGAAATCAAATAATGACTTTTTAGGAATAAAGTATTAAAGATGCAGTTCACCCGGCATAAACATAACCTCTGCAAAGTGTCCCACTGAGTAAGCTTTCCAGTCTCCTTTCTGCTGCCCTGAAAAACACTGTGACCAAAACCAATGTGGAAGAGGAAGGGTTTGTTTGGCATACACTTCCAGGCCACAGTCTATCATGAGGGGAATCAGGGCAGGAATTGAAACAGAAACCATGGAGAAACGCTGTTTGCTGGCTCAGGCTCGCACTTAGCTTCGGGCTGGGTCTTCATACATCAGTTAACAATCAACACAGCTTTCCACAGACAGTCTGATCTGGGAAATCCCAAAGACTCCCTTCTCAACTAAGATGGAGTTAACGCAACTAGGGAAATAAGGTTTTAGTACAGTCACATATCTATAGACAGTCGTCATTGCTATGTGATAGTTGCCTCTCTATTTATTTGGTCAGGGTCTATACCCCAAGGGAACCTTGAACTCACTGTGTAGTCAAGTAACTCCTGATCTTCCTGCCTCCACTTCCTGATTGTTGGGATTACAGGTGTGCACCACCACACCGGGTTTACGCTATGGATGGGACCCGGAGCCCTGTGTAACCTAGGCAAGCCCTCTACAGACTAAGCTATACCCCTGCCTGCTACCTAGTTTCAGAACATTTTTATTACCCAGAAAGGAGCAGTCCCTACCCATTCCCTTCCTCCCCAAGCTCCTGGCAGCCACTAAATCTACGTTCTATCCCTATGGACTTGGGTTTTCTGGACATTTCATGAAAATGGAATCATACAGTATGTGACGTTTTAAACTGGCTCCTTTCACTTGTATCTTCAGTGGTGTCATAACAATGAGCACCTCATTCCTTTTTTTTTTTTTTTTCCGAAACATGGTTTCTCTGTGTAGCTTTGGAGCCTATCCTGGCACTTTCTCTGGAGACCAGGCTGGCCTCGAACTCACAGAGATCTGCCTGCCTCTGCCTCCCGAGTGCTGGGATTAAAGGCATGTGCCAGCAATGCCCAGCTGCACTTCATTCTTTATCCCTGTGCAATATTCCACTGTTGTTGTAGACCAGGTTTTCTTTATCTGTTCATACACTGATGGGCATCCCAGCAATTTTCACCACTTGGCAATTCTGAGTAATGCTGCTATGAACATTCACATCCAAGTTAGAGGACACATGGTTTTTTATTCTGCAAGGTATACACACACACCTAGGAGAGGAATTGCTGGGGTCATACAGTGACTCTAAAGCAATGGGATATTGGAGGTAATTGTTTCAGTGGAGAATGGGGAATTTCAAAGGTGACATTGGGCTCACTGCTTCCCCACACACACACCCAAGAGTCACCTCCTGCTGTGGCTCCCCTTCAAATCTATATTCCACCAACCACCTGCACAACCTCCAGGGACTTCCTACTGTCAGTATGAATGAAGAAGCATCTGACAGGGCCGGGCAGATGGCTCAGTCAGTATAGCACTTACCATGTAAGCATGAGGACCAGAGTCCAGATTCTTAGCCCCTGTGTAAAAAATCAGGAGTGGTGACATGGGCCTGTAATCCTAATATTAGGGCCACTGAAACAGGATGATCCTGGAATTCCAGCCAACCTAGCCAAATCTGAGAGCTCTAGGTTCAGTGAGAGACCCTGTCTCAAAAATAGGGTGGAGACACAATTGAGGATGCACACCACACAAAACAGAAAAGTGGGAAGGAAGGAAGGGAAGGAAGGAAGGAAGGAAGGAAGGAAGGAAGGAGGGGAAGGAAGGAAGGAGGGGAAGGAAGGAAGGAAGGAAGAGAGGGAGGGAGGGATGGAGAGAGGGAAGGAGGGAAGGAAGAATGAAAGTTTCTAGTGTTCTAGCGCAGTACAGTTGTGAGGAGTAATGTCTGACTGCAGCCTCACCTCTGTCCCTCACACTGTCCCTATCCTCTTCCAATAACCCCATCCCCTGCTGTGGACTTGTGTTTCCATTCCCACTTCTTGACCAAAGCACTTCCCTGCCTCCCTATGGCGCGCTCCCTGTCATTTGGACCAACTGGTCTACCTGTCCTCAAAGGAGCAATCCTTCTGGCCTTTGACACAAAGGATGTGCTGAGCCCCTCTGGCATCTTATGCCACCTGCAGACTTCTGTCTCTTCCTTGTGGGTGTGGCTTCCCTAGGGGACAAAGCAATCCTCAAGCAAGAAAGAGCAATGATTAAGACTCAATTGTGTCTCCACCCTATTTTTGAGTCAGGGTCTCAAAATGTTCAACTTTCTCCTGCTGTGACAAAATACCTGAAATAATCAACGTGAAACAAAAGAAGTCATGTGTTGGCTCAATTCCAGAGGTTTCACTCCATTACACAGGAGCCTGTGGCAGTGCAGAACATACAGTGGGAAATGCCTGCTGGCATGAAGCTACTCACCTCATGACTGCCAAGAGAACCTTGTGTCAACTCCTAGCTTGAAGTTGTTCTTTCCAATTCCAGGTCATGCTTGAGCGGAGGCTGCACCTTGTTCTGAAGTGTATCCGTAACATGGACAAAGAAGGCGTATTGAGAAAGCTTGTCAAAGCCCAGGAATCACTAATACAAGGTAAGGAGAGCTGAGTGATACTGATAGCCATGGCCTCTTAGAGGTCTCTTCTCAATGAACTCAGCTCTGGCAATGTCAAATCTCATCATAAATTCTACACATCAGTTTTGTGTTGCCATTAAAACAAACCAACACCAGCTCTGTGGCTTAAAATTACACAAATTCAGGGTTGGGGTGATGGCTCAGAAAGCAAATGTAAAGACGTGAGTTCAACCCCTGGAAACCACATAAACGGTGGATACGGTTGTTGCCAGTGACTGTGAGTGGGAGGCAGAGACAGCAAGGTCCCTAGAAGCTTCCTGGCCACCTAGCCAAGTCTTTGGTGATGTTCCAGGTCTATGGGAGACCCTATCACAAACAGTAGGTAGAAAGTGCCTGAGAACTGACAGCCAAGGTTGTCCTCCAGCCTCCACATGATGTGCACAAACATACATGTGCGTTCACACAGGAACACATGAATGTCACAGCTTCTGGCAATCGGGAATCTAAAACCGAGGTGTCAGCAGGGCAATTCCTTATCTTGGAAGCTATTGTTGAAAGCGCCCTGCTTTCTTGGCTCCTGTCTCCTTCCTCGTGTCACTGTTGTCTCTCACCCTTTATGCGGACCCTGAGATTTCATCAGGCCTGCCTGGGAAACCTAGACACTTTGGGAGGCCTGATTTACTTACATCTGCCAGCTCCCTCTCACCATGTGCGAATTACTGTCCCAACAATCAGATTTTCCAGAAACAAGAGACAGTATGAGGCTTAAAGCTTCTGGTGTAAATGCTAGGCTGAGCATACGCTAGAGTCAATCAGTCATTCAGCAACTATACATGACAAGTGTCCTTGGGACTGGGGACATAATACAGTCAGTAAAGGACTTGGCTTGCAAATATAAAGACCTGTATTTGATCCCCAGAATCTATATAAAAAAAGCCCGTCATGGTGGCACATGCTTGTAATCCCAGCACTGAGAAGGTGGAGACAGGGGCCCTGGAGCTTGCTGGCTGGCCAGCCTACTGTACTTGGCAAGTTGAGGCTGTCGCTAAGAGCAAAATGGACTACACACAAGGAACAACAGTTGAGGTTGTCCTATGGCTTCCACATGCAGATACCCACATGCTACATACTTGCACATACATGTGTACCGTATGAACATAGACGTGCACATCTCACTGGAGAGGAAGGGAGGGTAAAGGAGGGAGAAAGAGGTCCATTCATTTGGACCCTCTGAGCTACAAGCTGCTTCCAAGGACCCAAAGACCATGTCATAATTTTCTCCTCCCAGCCTGTGGTTCACACGAAAGGCCAAAGGCGGCTGTGCCATCCCACACTCCCCCAGGCCCGCCTCTATCACACCCCACCTCCCCAAGCAGTACCGACCCCGCACCACCACCACCAAGACTACCTTGCTTCCCTCCCCAAACGCTCTGCAGCATTTTAGGTACTCGTTTATTCCTCCTATAGTATTTTATTTTTAATCTTGAAGTTTCTAACAAGGAAAGCGTTTTTTTAACAAACAGTAAACTTTACATGAAAATCACACATAGTTGTTTACAAAAGCTCTCTAGAATCCAACGTTTCCTTGGCTAAATTCATCAGAGATATTTTAAGGAAGAATTGGTCTCTGGGGACTGGAGAGGTGGCTCAGCTTGCTGCTCTTGCAGAAGCCCAGAGTTTGTTCCCAGCACCCATATGAGGCAGCTCACAACCACCTGTAACTCTAACTCCAGGCATTCTGACACCCTCTTCTTGTGTCTCTGGGGACTGCACTCATGCACAAACCCATAATTAAAGCTAACAATAAGATATTTTAAAAAATAAATCAAATTTTAAGAGAACTACAACTTAATAAGCTAAATGAAATAAAAAAAATTTAAATGAGGCGGGCGGTGGCTGCGCACGCCTTTAATCCTAGTACTCGGGAGGCAGAGGCAGGTGAATCTCTGTGAGTTTAAGACCAGCCTGGGCTACAAGAGCTAGTTCCAGGACAGCCTCCAAAGCCACAGAAAAACCTTGTCTTGAAAAAGCAAACTAAAAGAAAATTTAAAACCAATTTTGAACCCAGTGTGGTGACAAACACCTTTAATGCCAGCATTCTGGAGGCAGAGACATGTGGATGCCTGAGAGGCCAACCTGGTCTACAGATCAAGTTCCAGGACAGCCAGGGCTACGCAGAGAAACCCTGTCTCAAAAAAAATATATAAATAAATAAAATAAAAATAAAGGGAAAGAGGACTGAGATACTGCTCAGTTAGTACAGTGCTTACCTAACATTTATGAAGTCCTAAGTTTCATTCCTAGTACCCCTTAAACCTAGCTTGATGACACACACCTATAATCCTAACATTTGGGATGTGGAGGCAGGAGGAGCCTTAGCTACCTAGTAAGTTCAAGGCCAGGCTGGGGTATGTGAGACCCTGTCTCATAACAAGAGAGAGGGAAAGAAGGAACAAATACAAGGAAACTAACAATGTACATATATATTATTCATATGTATGTATACAAGCATGCTTGAGTGTAGAGAAATCTAAATATTGTTTCTAAAGTCTGTATAAGCATATATTAGTTATATATAATAATTATTTTCAGTATGACATTTTCATACATTTTTATGTCTTTTAATCATATTCATCCCATAGTCATCTTTTCTCCTTTCTCCCCCACTTCTTCAGATCCCCTCCTTTCTAACTAATCCCTATTCTGCCTTCGTGTGTGTGTGTGTGTGTGTGTGTGTGTGTGTGTGTGTGTGTGTGTGTGTGTGTGTGTGTCTGTTTGTGTGTTTTTCTGTGTACACAGTGTATTATGTGTGTATGTGTGTGTTCTGTGTGTGTATGTGTGAGAGAGTGGTATGTGCTCTGTGTGTGAGAGTCTTGTGTGCTGTGTGTGGGGTATGTGGGTGGATGGGTATTGTATATTTGTGTGTGTGGTATATGCTTTATGTATGTGTGTGTATCAGTGTGGGGGTATTGTATGTATATGCGTGTGTGTGTGTGTGTGTGTGTGTGTGTGTGTGTGTGTGTGTGGGTTGTGTATGTTGTGTGTGGGGTGTGTGTATGTGGTATGTTATGTGCCTGTGCATGTATAATATGTGGGGGGGTGTGTATGTGTATGTGTGTGTTTGGCTTTGTGTGTGTGTTGCATGTGTTATGAGGTAGGTGTGTGTGTGTGTGTGTGTGTGTGTGTGTGTGTGTGTGTGTGTGATAGTTTTGACTTAACAACTTTACTAATACATTTAACTAGGGCTATTTACAGGAGCATGACATATTAGTCAGTGGCATGGTCACTACACCACTGAAGAAAATAAACACGAATGCTCTGCTGCAAATGGCATTTGCTAAGTACACAGCTAAAGATGCTGGTTTCACATAGAATCACCTCACAAATTCCCTAAAAATGTTTGTCTTTTCCTAGCTGCAAATCCCTACCGATCCCTGCGGGCCGGAGTGAGTCAGGATGAATACCCCTGTCAATACTCACTACAGGCTGAGGAAGTGATGCCCTTTGCCTTTCCATCGGAGTCTCAGAGCTACAATGAGTTGGTGGGTGTCAACAATGAGTTGGGGGAGCAGACAGCCAGTCCCTACACCTCCTTTGAGAGGCTCTGAAGGGGACTTGTGCCTCAGGAATTATGAGCAGTAGGAAATGAGGGAACATTCACTGCCATCTGCCCCATACCTACCGTATCCATGGGTATCATATGCCCCATGCCTACAATATCCATGGGTACCTAGAGGAGCTTCCTGGTAACCTGAGCTGATTCCCAGTCTGAAGCAAATCATGGGAACTGGACCTGAGAGAAGACAGGAAGATAGGAGCAGAATCCCCACCTGGCCTGTGCTCAAATGAGTCTCCTGGCCTGGCAAATGGAAAGCCAACAACAGCTCTGAGGTCAGGGCCCTACCTGCTAAGGATGGCACGTGGACCCAGAATCAAACAAGCTAACCAACCCATCAGACTTGGAATCCCACCTCTCCACAGCCCCCGCCCCATCTCTCTCTTGAAGTATGACAATGCCTCCTCTTCCCTTATTGGCATGGTGGCTCATTATAAAAAAATAACAGTTAATTGGTCTGGGAACATACCTGTTAAGCACAAAGGCCCGAATTTGACCTCCAGAACCCAGGTGTTTTTTTGTTTGTTTGTTTGGTTTGGTTTGGTTTTTCAAGACAGGGTTTCTCTGTGTAGCTTTGGAGCCTATCCTGGCACTCTCTCTGGAGACCAGGCTGGCCTCGAACTCACAGAGATCCACCTGCCTCTGCCTCCGGAGTGCTGGGATTAAAAATGTGCGCCACCAATGCCCGGCTTAATTTTTTGTTTGTTTGTTTTGTTTGTTTGTTTTTTCGAGACAGGGTTTCTCTGTGTAGCTTTGGATTGATTTTATTTTTTAAAGCCAATCTTGTTATAATGTGTAATCTCAGTGCTAGGGAGACAAAAACAGGCAGATCCTTGGAGCTCACTGGTCAGTCAATGTAGCTGAATGGTGAGTTCCAGGTAAAGGGAAAGATCTTGTGCCAAAAAACAAAGTAGAGGGCTGGAGAGATGGCTCAGCAGTTAAGAGTACTGGCTGCTCTTCCAGAGGATCCAAGTTTGGTTCCCAGCACCCATATATGGTAGCTCTCAACTGCCTTTACTCCAGCTCTGGGGAATCCTGTGTCCTCCTGGGGACTCAGAGAGCACAGACACACTTAGTAAAGTTAAAATAAACCTTTTAAAAAGTATAAACTAGTTTTGAGGAACAACACAGCCAAGGCTCTTTTCTGTCCTGCACATGCATGTATATGCAAATATTACGCACCTGCACATACATGAGCCTGCACACATATCAGCACACACATACACACATAATAATATTAAATAAGAGTAATAATAATAATAATAGTTAATAATAGTTAATTAACCCTTACATGTCACTTACCACAGGTCATATCTTAAGGGTTTTGGAGACTAGACTTCATCAATTCTAAGATGCCCATTTAAAAAAAAAAAAAAAAAGATTCAGCAAATTTGAAATTGAGACATCACTTTAAAAGGATGGCATGTTAGCAATTCACCACATTGGGGTATGCTGGGCTTAGTTGGACAAGGTAAAGAATGATGCTTGACATTTGCTGGGGGCTGGAATGCACCAGGCCCAGTCTCCAGGATCCCTGGGTGTCTGGGGCAGATGGATATACAGGGAGATCTCTGGGGACCAGCACCTACAGATGACCGGCACGGAGGTGGGACCCGGCCAGAGAAGTGGAACCACAGTGCTTCTTGGCAAAGAACTCAGCTGAGCCCATGGGGAACTCTGAATATCCCACAGATTGAGAGAAGCTAACCTTTGAACTTTGACTTCAAACTGCCCTAGGAGGTAGACCAGAAGGTTGTGGGGTGCTCCCTCAGACAAGCTGACTCCTGAGGAGGGTTGACCTCACCAGTTGCTAACTCCCAAGGGTTTATGAGCTAAGTCCTTCAAGCCTAAGGGAACTATGGGGCTGATAGAATGAATATACACTGGGAGAAGATTTATTAGATTTGTCTACACAATATGACCTGGGTAATCTAACAGCAGCTATCTTATACTAGAGAGGCTGAAAGCCTGGTAGCTGCTTGATCCACAGGTTGCATGCATCAGCAGTCCCAACCTGCCACTGAAGATCTAGAGGATTCCTGGAGAGCCACTGACCCCCAGTCCACAATGGAAACACAAAGAAGCTGAGCTCTGATCTCAGCAAAGGAATGTAGCAGCAGCAGCAGCAGCAACAACAACAACAACAGAGTAGATGAGCTTGCTGTTGAGATACCCAGGCAATGAGACAAAAACCAAAGCTTTCTCCTCAGACCTCCTCTGTCTGACTGACATTGGATGGAGCCACCCACATTTAGGGCAGGACTTCCCACTTCAAATAACCTGATCAAGAAAACCCCTTGTAGATGTGCCCAGCAGCTTATCTTTTAGTCTTTTAGTCGATTCCAGATCCAAGCAAGTTGACAACCAGGATTAACCATCTCAGAAGGACATGCATGTTGCAGCCTCCATAATAGTCCATAAGATTCACACACAGAGAGACATGGGGGAGGGCTGCCTTTGTGCCCACAGCTCAGATAGTAACTGTGGCCACAGGAAGAGCTGTTTTGAGCCTAGAACTCTCAGGTGATGTTTCAAAACATAATGAAAACACACAGAGCTGTTTCTGCTCACAGATGTCTGTCTGTCCTTTTACGTTTTTTCTTTTCATTTATTCCATGTAGGCTCTTGATGGCCTTGGACTAATCATAATTAAACCTTCTGATCTTCAAATCAAGCACAAGTATCCTTACTTCGTTTTAAAGGTAAGATCTGCATATAACATATTCTGGTTGCTTGCAGCTACCGCCCCTCTCTCACCTATCTACCTGTCCATCTATCATCTATCTGTCATTAAGAAGGCATACATGCCACAGTGCCTGTGTGAAAGTCAGGGAACAACTTTTGGGGGTTCGTTCTCTCCTTCTACAGTGAGAGTCGTAGAAATTGAACTCTGGCCATGAGTCCTGATGACAAGCATCTTAACACACTGAGCCATCTCACTGGCCCTCAGGTTTCTTACAAAGCAAGCGAAATAGACTTGAATTTGAATTGCATTATTTTGTTAGTATTACTCTATTCTAGCTTATATAGAATGGCACATTGTATTCTCTCTATTATTTGATGGTGTGTTGAGTACACCTCAAGTCCTTTTTCTCTAATGTGAATATGAGAACTGGGTCTTTCCTATGGGTACAGTATACATTATGCCTCTAGGAAACAGTGGCTCTATGTCTATTAGAAACCTCAGGACACAAGTTAGTCAGTCTTTCTTTTTTTTTTTTTTTTTTTGAGACAGGGTTTCTCTGTGTGACCTTGGCTGTCCTGTAATTCAGTTGATAGACCAGGCTAGCCTCAAACTCTGAGATCTGCCTGGTTCTGCCTCCTGAGTGCTGGGGTTAAAGGCATGTACCACCACTGCCTGGCTAGTCAACCTTTCTTGAACTGTGGGACCACTTGTGCTTTTGAAAGTGAAAACATGTTTATGTATATCTCCAGTAAAGCTCCCTGTCATGAAAAAATAATTTAAGTAGTGCCAAGTGCCAAGACTTAGGACTGGCCTTGTTAGGCAGCTATTATTGAGACACTAATCCTACCAAAACATAGTGGGTTCTTGTGGGCCCTTTTTAAAGAACTACAAATGTCTATTCAACCTAGATAGGGTACTGGTGCCAGAACAAATAAATTACTTCCCCCAGCTTAGTTTAGTGATTCAGAATGTTTATTGGGAATATATACAGGTGCATGGGTGAGGGGATTCATAAAGGAACATGGATGACTCAAAGGCAGCTGCATCACTGAAACCCTACATCGTCATGGGTGAGGACTCATTAAAGGTGCATCTCTGAAGCACCCTGGACAATTTGCAGGCAGCTCAGCTAATCAGAGAGTCTCCTCTTTCCAGCAATTGTTCACCTTGGAGAGGAACTTTTTTGTGAATCTTGTAAGTTTCAGGAACTTCTTGAGACTTCTGAGTTTAATTCACTACCTGAGCCTCAGTGAGGCTTCCTCCAAGAAGAAATGTTTCCATTTGAAGGAAGTAGCTCTACAAAGCAGGCTTTTAAAGTCACCAATCTGCCATCTTCTTTCATTTTCAGGTTCCTCAGTTATACAAAATCAAGGGATATCAACCATTTTCTGTCAACAAGTCCTCAACAAATTACAAACTTCAGAAGCTTGCTCGACCCCTGAAGCAAGGGGCTGAGGTAATGCATCTGCAACTTCAAGAACTGCTCTTGCCACTCAAGTCCTGCCATTAAGAATGGCAGGTCATTGAGTTGGAGGGATGGCTAAGTGATTAAGAGATTATTGCTCTTGAAGAGAACTCAGGTCCAATTCCCACTACCCATGTGGTGGCTCACATCCATCTATAACTCCAGTTCCATGGAGTCCAACAGGGATGCACATGGTGCACATACATGCAAGCAAACATTTGTGCACATAAAATAAATAACTCTTTAAGAAGAAAATAAGACTAGCAAGTCACTTTTGGTCTTTATGCAGGATGAAGTCACCGCCATCATAGCTCCACCCAAGCAGGACACCACAGATCTCTTGGCCAAGCCCTCCATCTTGAGTATGAAGGCACCTGAGGGCCTGGCCATGTCTGTGGAATATGACCCGCTGTATGTTTTTGTAAGTACCAGTTGGCAGATGCCTGTGTTCTGTGTCCCTTTATTTCAGCAATTACCCTACAAAAAAAACAGAAACATGAATGAGTTGGAAATATGTTTTCCTTTTTTTTAGTTATTTTAATTAATTTTTCTTTACTAAATATTTATGTTTATTTTGTGATTTATTTGTATGTATGCCAGGGAGTGGGGACAGGAAAGGGTATCAGATCCCTGGGAGTTTGAATTACAGTGTTTGTAGGCCATCCAAAATGAATGCTGGGATTTTAACTCCAGGCTTCATGATAAAGGAAGAGGCACTCTTAACCCCTGAGCCTTTTTTCCGGCCCCATTTTTTAAAAACAGTATCTCATAGCCCAGGATGGCCTCAAACTCACTATGCAGCCAAGAATGACCTTGAACTTCTAACCTTCCTGTCTCTATGTCCCAAGTACTAGGATTGTTGGTTTGCAGCATTGCATCCATTTTTGTGTGGTGCTGGGGCTTGAACCTAGGGCTTGATGTGTGCTAGGCAAGTACTCTGCTAACAGCTACATCCCCAGCCCTTCGATGTTTTCTTTTGGCATTTCAAGCCAGCTGAGCATTTATCACCCTCTGCCTTTTGATTCTGGATGGTATGATATGGCAAACTGCTTCAGCTCCCTGCCACCCTGACTTCCCTACTGTGGTGGACTGGGAGCCAAAACGAACTCTTCTCGCCTAAGCTGCTTTATTGGAGTATTTTATGACAACGGGGAGAGACTAAGGCAGACCCAGAAATGGATCTGCTCTTTAAATCCAGTGTGCTTATTTAATAATCCCCTCATTGATCATGGCTGGAAGCAGTTTCAAACTGTGATTCCAATGACATCCTCTTCCTCGTGAGGCCAGCAAATCTAAATAGCAGCTAATGAAACCCTTAAGCCAGAAAATGCATACATGAAGATGGTGATGTTGGAAAGACAGGCCAACCCGAAGCTCTGATCCTGTGTCCAGTTTGCTAAGAGTTGACATGCATCCCCATTGTTAGTGCTAGTGGGAGCCACAGAGAGCATTGCTGACGCCTGTCCCGTGCCTGGTATGGAGAAGGGTAAACACCATCAATCTGGTCTGCCTCTTGTCCACAGAATCCCAGCCCAGGACTGTTTGCCGTGAAGCACCCTCTGACCTACGCAGAAACTCTGATAGATTACCATCTGTGCACTCACCCCAAGTACAAGTTCACCCAAGAGGCCCACATTGGGTCCAGCATTCCTATCACCCAAAAGCAGTTTCTCCATCATATGGTAACGTCAGCACCAGGCACCCTCCGCAGAGCTGGCCTTAGACTGTGGGGAGGGGCAGGGGACAGGGAGAGAGGGCACCAGTGGGGACTAAGAAGAAGAAAACTGAGCTAGCTGGCAAGGTGGTTCAGTGGGTAAAGGAACTTGCCACCAAATCTGATGATCTGAGTTCAATCCCTGGAACCCACATGGTGGAAGGAGACCAAAGAGAACACTGGCTTATGCATGTTGCCCTCTGACAACTTGTGCACATACATACAAACACACACATACAATGCACACACAGGCACACACACATTCACACTCCTGCATGCATACACATGCCAATAAACACGTGCACACACATACACATGTGTACATACACAAATGTTCAAAATAAAGAGGTGCCATTTGAACAACAATAAAAGAGAACTTGTAACCTTAGCCATGGACCGAGAATAGTGACCACAGTCCTCTGCCAACTGTGAAGGAGGCAGGACTATTCTCGGTACCAGCATTATCCATCTGTCCACCTCCTGTTGTCTGCTGCCCTTTTACTAACACCCTCACTCGTTTTGACTTAAAGGGGGAAATGGTTACTCATTACTTTTCAACCATATGAAAACAATCATGCGGTACTATGACTTTGGGCTCCAGTCACAGAGCTCACACAAGCGTTGATCTACCAGCTCTAGAACATTCCCATATCCCACCCGCCTAACTCTTACGTGACTGCAGCTCCCCTCTCATCTCCACCATGTTTCACCACTGCCACAATCCAGGATGCCACAAGAAACTACTGATCCAGCTTGAAACACCTCAGTGGGTCAGGGGACTGTGGAGATGGCCAAGCCCCAACAGCAGGAGGACCTGAGTTCAGATCCCTGGTGCTCATATCAATCCAGGTGTGATCGCACAGACATGTAATCCCAGCACCAGAGATATGTAAATAGGTGGATCCCTGGAAGTTATTGGCTAGCCAGCCTAATGGAAACTGCAAGCTCCAGGTTTCATGAGAGATGGTATTGATTAAGGAAGACAAAGACATTGGCCTCTGACATCACACACACACACACACACACACACACACACACACACACACACACACACATGCTGAGTATATGTATCCATTGCCCACAGAGTAGCTCCACTGGCCTGGCCCTCAGGTCCCTTGGTGACCTGCCTGCCTCTGCAGCCACAGGTACCATCCCTATCATGTTCCCTGCACTTAGCTGAATGGCTAGAGACCTAATAGTTACATCACGTTGCCAGTGTGTTCCACTGCACTGTCCTCCCTGCCTGAGTGCTACCCATCCTCTTGGAACATTTCATTAGCATCACTTTCACAACCATCCAGACAGACTGGAAGACCACATCTGCCCTTGGCCACCACCACACACCCTGTACCAGAACAACTGTCTTTGCTTTAGAGTCAGTCAGGCTTGATGAGATGATACATTTGCACCTAACCTTTTGAAACTTAGAAACAGTCAGCTGACTGAAGTGAAGGCTCTCTAAGACATTTTCCCACTGCATCAGTTACTTTTCTTGGTCCTCTAACAAAACATGGCAAAAGCAACTTAAGGAAGGGAGGCACAGTGGCAAGAGCATGAGGCAGCTGGTCACGTGACATCCACAGTCTGGAAGCAGAGATGGATGCCTGGGCTCAGCTCACTCTCTCCTTTTTGTTCAGTCTGGGACTGCAGCCCAGGGGATGGCGCTGCCCACAGTTAGGGTGGGTCTTCCCACTTCAGCTAATCCAGTGTTAAAAAATCCTCAGAGACAGCCCCAAAGGTTTGTCCCTTAGGTGACTCTAGATGCTATCAAGTTAACAGTCAGCATTAACTCTCAACGGCCGCCTAACACTTTCTTTCTCTTCCCATCCTGTCCCTGCACCAACTTTCATCACAGGATATAATTCCTGGAGTCATGAACTGGAAGAGGTTCCAGCCCCTGATCTTCTCCTCCTTGTCTGACATCTCCAGGATGGAAATCACTCAGAGGTAAGCTGGGAAACTGCTGGGCTCCCCGAGTGTTTGCACTGAAGATCACAGAGGCTGGGGGACCAGGTGTCAAAGGTCAACAGTGACAACTCACACTTTCAAATTGTGCCTTCAAAGCATTGAGGGAGGACTTGCTTGCCAAGGAGCTACAATGGTGGATAGCTGATTTTCATAGTTTGAATTCATCTTAATCAAGACACACTTTTTAGCCGGGCGGTGGTGGTGCACACCTTTAATCCCAGTACTCAGGAGGCAGAGGCAGGTGAATCTCTGTGAGTTCGAGGCCAGCCTGGTTGGTAAAGTGAGTTCTAGGACAGCCAGAGCTACATGGGGAAACCCTGTCTGGGAAAAAAAAGCACAAACAAAATAAAAAACCCACACTTTTTTAAAAAAGCAATGCAATGCTAGCTAATTTGCAGGGTTTCAGCACAGACAGAGAACTAACTGATCGTATAATTCTACTGAATATTCATGGCCTATTTTTTCTTTTTGAAGAATATTTCTCCTTGAAATATTCATGGTGAGTGCATGCTGGAGTGTGTGTGTGTGTGTGTGTGTGTGTGTGTGTGTGTGTGTGTGTGTGGATACAACAGGTACACATGTCCATGGGTGTACATGCTTAGGGAGGCCAGAGTGTTCTTGAGTGTTCTTCATCAGAAACGGTAACTTTTTTTTTTTTTGAGGTAAGATCTTTCATCAGCATGAGAGCTAGCTGATTTGCTAGTATAGCCAGCCATGAGGCTGGGGGTGGGAGGGGGTCCTGTGTATGCTTCTTCCATTCTGGGATTACAGGTGTTCACCACCAAACCCAGCTTTCTTAAGTGAGTTCTGGGCTAGAACTCAGGTTCTTGGGATCAAATTCAAGTCTGCAAGCTTGCACATCAATCCTTTCTTGAGTCATTCCCCCCAAGCTCTTAGGCAGTATCTTCCTCAGGGATTATGACAGCAACTTCACTGGGCTGTCACAAGTGGCTGTATGAAGAAGTATTTAGGATATGTCTGGTTGCTTGCTTTTGGTAACTTCTGATTTCCAGAGCTCACAAAACTGTGCAATCACTCTCTCACCACTAGGTGACAGTATCAGCCCCCAAAGCAACCCATTTTGCAGGAAGACAGGAATGCTTTCAAATTGACCCATTGTTCTAGTTTGATTTCTGTTGCTGTGATAAACACCCTGACAAAAAAGCAGCTTAGGGAAGAAAGGGTTTGTTTGGCTGACAGTTCCAGCTTACAGTCCGCCATCGCAGGAAAGTCATGGCAGAAACTTGAGCATCACTTCCGCAGAGACAGAATCCTTGCTTGCTTGTTCTCAGCTAGCTTTCTCCTCTTACACCGTTCAGGATCCACTGGCTGCGTATGGAATGATGCCACCCACAATGGTCTGGGTCTTTCTACTTCAATTAACAATCAAGAACTCCTCCCATACACATGGAGGCATGCTCACAGACAAACCTGATCAAGGCTCCTACAGTAGCTGGGGCACAACTCAGTAGTAAAGTTCTTGCCTAGCATCCTTACAACTACAGTGGGGGAAAAGTGGCACATGTAACCAGTAAACTAGACTCAACTGCATCTGGGTTGTGTCCAGACTCCAGTGTACCCACTTTTAGCATACATGTATCCCAAGTATTAAAAATTAGCCAATTCATTTTTACAAAGCCATGTCCTTGAAAACAACCCCCAAGGCTGTTCTTTTAGTGGGAAGTCAGGAGGTGGGGGGTGTCCTGGCCCCAAATAGCCATGCATTAAAAAATAAAGGCCATATCAATGAAAACCTCCTGCCATGACTTTTTGCTGTGAGCTTCCATGCCTGAACGCTCTGTCAGGCCAGTTTGTTTCAATGTAAACATTGCATTACATAGTAATTCAAAAATGAGGAGCAGGGCCTGGGTGGGGGTGCAGCTCAGCTGATAGTGCCCGTGGAGTATACACAAAGCCTTGGGCTCCCTCCCCACAAGGGCCAATGTGAGCACTGATGCATCTGGAGTCCTCACTGCTTGTTCTGTTCCCACAGAAGTGACTGGTACAGTCCTGTGTTGCTGCCTGTAGATACCCCTGCCCCACTGGACGCCTTACCAGAGGAAGACAGATTGGAAACTATGGAGAGGTATTTTCTAATTTCATTTTTGTGGCTGTGGTTGGGTAAGGTGTTGTCTTCCAGGTGGAAGCACACACAGCACTGAATGTCTACCCTAAAGGATTAGGTAAGACTGATGTCCCCCTGTGCCATCAGGATGTGAGGCAGTTGGCTCATATTGCAGAATAGACTGTCCCAAATGTCTAAGATGTGAGGATCAGGGAAGAGGGCTAGTTAGTCACATCCTTGCCACACAAGCATGAAGACCAGCTTCAGATCCTCAGCATACACAGAAAAAGCCAGACATGGGGCTGGAGAGGTGACTCAGAGGTGAAGAGCACAGGCATCTCTTGCAGAGGACCCAGGTTTGATTCCCAGCACCCTCATGACAGCTCATGACTGCCTGTAGATCCAGTTCTGTGGGATCCAAAACCTTCTTCTGGCCTCTGTGGGCATCAGGCACACACACACGGTACACATCATACATGCAAGAAAATACTCATAACTTTAAAAAAAAAAAATCCAGCAGTAGTAGCCGGTAGCACATATCTGCAGGCTGAGGCTGAAGTCATGGAGGCAAGCAGGTCCTTCATGCTTACAGGGAAACCAGTCTAGCTGAATCAGGGCACTCCAGGTTCGGTGAAGGAGCCTGGAGAGAGAGAGAGAGAGAGAGAGAGAGAGAGAGAGAGAGAGAAGGAGAAAAGGGAGAGAGAGAGAGAGAGAGAGAGAGAGAAGTAGAGGAAGACACCGGACACTGACCTCTAGACTCTGTGCATACACACAGACACATACACCACATGGTCACACATCACACACACACACACACAAAAACACAAGCTAGAAGCAAGGCACTTGCATTTCCTTTTACTAATTGGCATCTAACATGTGTCCTTAAATCTAGTCAGGGACCCAGCAGCAGACATGAGAACAAGAGATGTGAGCCAAGCAGGGCACAGGCTCGGGCCCCAGAGCATCTTCTGTACTGTGGGCCCTTGGCATGACACCAAAACACCTCCAGCATGTGTGCTTCAGCTGTTCCACCTGCCACGGCCCACTCTGCAAATGCTTCTCCACTGTGGTCATCACTTTCTCCATGTGTGCGTGCATGCATATATGTGAGCAATGTGAGCATGTGTCTGCACATGCATGTGGAAGCCAGAGGCCAACCTCAGAGATTTTCCTAGGTATGTTTGTTGTTGTTTGAAACAGGATCTCTCACTGGCCTGGAGCTTACCAGTTGTGCCAGGCTGGTTGGCCAGCAAAGCCCAAGAACCTGCCTGACTCAGTCTCCCCATCGTTGGAATCATAACACGCACTACTCCACCCTGGGGACAGAACTCAGGTCCTCATGCTTATGCAGCAAGCTCTTTATCAAGTGAGCCAACCCCCCAGCTCCCCAGCCCCCCAGCCCCCCAGCCACCCAGCCACCTAGACACCCATAGAGTAAGAAGGAGAGGAAGATATACAGAAGAAAGGTAAAAGCCCAGAGGGCAAAGGTAGATGGGTTAATTTAAGATAAGAAAAGCTGGATAGAAACAAGTCAAACGAAGGCCAGGCATTTTTAATAAGAATAAGTCTCCATGTGTGGTTTATTTGGGAGCTTGGTGAGCCCCCCCCCCAAAGAAATCCTCATAATCCACACTGATGACCATCCATCAGTGCCATACACCAGGTCCATGCCAGCGTACTTGCTGAGCACAGGACGTGGTTTGTCCTTTCCAGGTGCAGTATCTCATACCCGGTACGTACTCAAAAAACAGTTACTCATGACAAACTCTATTTCCTTCTCTTATTAACACATACGATATTGATAGATTCAGCACATTTCCATGCAAAATAATCAATTAGTGAAACCCTAAATATCCAAGGCTCATAGCCAGTTCCTCTGACACCTACCCATGTGCTCTGAGAGTTAGCAGTACTTAGGCAAGATCTGTAAAGGAAGATTGAAAGATCTATACTCAAAGCACTGCACAAGGACCTTTCTTTTTAGCTGTTTGAAATAGTGTGTGTGTGTGTGTGTGTGCGCGCTCACACTTGTGCCAGGTGTTCATGAGGCAGTCAGAGGACAACTTGCAGGAGTCATTTCTCTCCTTCCACCACGTGGGTCCCAGGAATCAAACACAGATGGCCAGGCTTCATGGTAAACACCTTTACCTGCAGAGCCATCTCTCCAGCCCATGTAGAAGACCTTTTCTTGAGTGTGTTGCAGGCATGGTAGGATGATTTCTATTTGCTTAAAGCTGAGAAAGCCTGGATCTGCCCACTTATGAAGACGGCAGACCAAAGCAGAAGCATCTCTCCTTCATTCATCACCGGTGTGCACTCTGTTGTGACTCAGTTTCCTCATCTTTGAATAGGTACCCACTTTGTGGGAGTAGAGTATCAGAATCAAATGAGACAACATGATGCTGAGGAGAAAGCTAGAGATCAAAATGTAACATTTTCCAAGCATTAAATGTACATCATGCATGGCCCACACTGAGCTCTCATTGTTATGCCTCCCATGGCAATGAGGAAGATAATAATAATAATAATTATTATTATTATTATTATTATTATTATTAATGTTTGCAGAATCACAGGTATAATAAATACTCCCAACTATATGGCACTACAACAAATTTTTGCAGTTTTCAAGGGTATTTCGTGGGGGAGGAGTGGTATGTTCACATGTCAGGGATGCACAGGAGTGCATAGGTAGATGTGTACATGTGTGTGTGGGCATGTGAGACCAGAGGTCAACCTGAAGTGTGGTGCCTGGATCACTATCTACCTTGTTTTTTCAGACAGGTTCTCTCACTGAACTCGGAACTCCCAAGTAGACTAGGCTGACTGGCCAGCTAGGTCCAGCCATCCTCTTGCCTCTGCCTCCCCAGCCCTGGAGTAACAAGCTTTTGCCAGCAGGCCCAGCTTCTCAGCTGGATGCAAAGGATGGGCTTTGCTGTCCTCATGCTGTCCTGGCAAGCACTTTCCCAACTCAGCATCTCCCCAGCCCTCAAAGGTACTTCCCCTAACAGGAAACTGCCAGGCACCTCTCTTTACCTACAGTGGCTAGATAAAGTGCTTCCATTTGTAAATCCAAATCTTGAAGCCATCCCCGCCTTTACTGTTCTTGGAATGACTTTACTTGGATGTGGTAGAAAGGACTGTTTTCCAACATGACATTCGCCTTTCCTCCTACAAACACTGAATATTTGAAACCAGAGGCTAACTCTCCCAGCCTCCTTTGCAGCCTCCATGCCCTGCACTTGACTAGGCCTTTGCAAATGGGACTTTCCAGACTGTGTTAATTGAGGTAAGACCCAAACTATGGGTGTCATCTTTTAATGGGCGTTCACTTCTCTCTACATCCTGAGTGCTAGTGCAGCAATGTGACCATCTCCTCAAGCTCCTGCCACTGCACCTGCCCCACCATGATGGATGTTAACCTCGAACTGTGAGCTGAAACAACCCTTCCTGCCTTAGTTGCTTTTGCCAGGAATTTTGCCATAGCAATGCATTAGTTACTAATAAAGTCCTTTTGTGCCACATAACAAAGCTGAATAGTTATAACTGAGACCCATGACCCACAAAGTCTTCAGTGAAAACATCTGTTGCTCTTGTGCCACTCAGAGTCCCCCATAACTGTGGCAAAACATTCGACAAGAACACCTTCAAAGAGGAAGGGTTTGCGCTGGCTCATGGCTTCCAAGGTCCATGGTTGGCTGGATCCATTTCTCCGTGCCTGAGACAAGACTGGAACCTCTCGGAGGCAGGAGCCTGTGGCTCAGTGACCAGAAAGTCGAGAAAGGAGAAACAGGAAATGTCTGGCATGCCACCTGTGATCAGCATCATCTAGCCAGCTCCCACCACCCAGGAATGCGGTCAAAACAGGAATCATCATTGGATTAACCCATTGATTAAGTCAGAGCCCTTTATGAACCAACACTTCAAAAAGCCCACCTCTGAATTCCACTGCATTGGGAACCAAACCCTCAACACAAGGTTTGGGGGGCGATACTTCATAGTCAAGCATTAAACCCACACTGTAATAAAAGCAACTGAAAGATACAAAGAAACTGGGGCAATCGCTCCACACAAGTGTGATGGCCTGAGTCCGGGTCCCCAGAAGCTGGTCTCAGTGGTATAAATCTGTCATGTGAACATACCAACCCTCCCACAGAAAATACCCTTGAAAACTGCAAAAAGCTGTTGTAGCGCCATATACTTGGGAATGAGCATTGATTACACTGGTGATTCTACAAACATCTGCCCCTATTATCAGCTTCCTCGTCTCCAAGTTGGAGACAGACTCTCACATACACAGCAGTAAACAGCAAGAGACCCTGTCTCAAACGAGATAGAAGGCAAGGTTATAACTCCCACATGCATACCATGGTGTCATAAATACACACACAATAAATAATAAAGGAGATCTTTTGAATTTCCTTCACTAAAGGCTATTTAGAAACAGACTGTTCACAAGATGACCCAAACTCAAAAAGACAAAAATGTTCTCTCTCGTGTGCAGGTCCTAACGTATAGTGTGCACATATATACATGTGAGCAGGTGTGGGTGTAGGTAAAGCCTGAAGATCTAGAGAGGAGATGGAAAGGGTGATAATTGGGGATGAGGAAGGAGTGGGAACAGGTAAAAAGACACATGGGACATGAAAGAAGAATTAATCCAGAGTGGGGAGGCTACAAGGGGGACACAGGGGTGGCAGGAGATTGGGGAGATAGGGAAAAGAATCCCCAAAAAACACATTTTGCTCTAAAATTTCATAATGGTATTTAACACATTATATGTTGATTTTTTTAAAAAAATAAAATTTTCAAAAGAAGTACACTGTTTGATTTCACAGCAGCTGTGGATTTTCTAGTTATCTGTGGCTTTAGTTCTATTCCGAACCCATTGTGTCCAGAGAACATCATTGAATGAATCCAATCTTTTGAAATCATTTGGGCTTTGTTATAGTGGAGACACAGGCCATCTGATAAACGTTCCAGGTGCACTTGAAAGGAGCCTGAAATCTGTGACCCCCCCTTTTAAAAACAGCTTTTTATTCCCTGGTTATAAATATCTTACTCCCCCCCACCATCATTGGCTGGGGGAGGCAGTGTGTCTGTCCTCTGCTTCTCTGCACATAGACTCAGCAGAAGTAGTTGCAACTAACACTGGAACACAAGGCTCCCAAATGGTAGGATTCCGTCCTATTTTTATGCTGAGAAAGAAGAACATTCCCACTCAATGTCTTATTCTTTTCCAGAGAGCTCTGTGAGCAGAGTACAGAAGTCATGCTGACTCCAGAAATGATCCAAGTGGAATTCCCCATGGTCAACAACAAGGAAGCCAAGAAGGAGAAGTAAGTGGGAAGTGGGCGTTTTGTTGTTGTTGTTGGTGGTGGTGGTGGGGGGGTTTTTTTTGGCATGGAATAAGATTTGTCCTTGGCGAAGGTCAGAACTGTCAGAATGTCTGAATCTCAGTATTTTCAGCGTTGAAAGAGGTACATCTCCAATGCTTCAAATATTTAAATGTGTGTCAGCATTTATACACAGTCATCTCCTTCAAATGCTTTAGCTAGTAAGCCTTTAAATTGAATCCACAGGACTAGAGAGATGATTCATTGGTTAAGAATGCACACTGCTCTGAGTTCAATTCCAGGCACTAACATTAGCTCAAAACTGCCTGTAACTCCAGCTCCTGGAGATCCAGTACCCTCTTCTGGCCCTTTGGGCACCGCGTTCATGTGCACAAACCCCCACACATACATATACGCATAATTTTTTAAAATAACAATGAAATATTTTTAAAACTAGAATCCAGATATGGAGAGAATGTGTCTGTAAGTACATGTTCAGCAATCATGAGAACCTGAATTTGATCCCCCAGAACCTATGGTTTGTCTTGTTTTATTCTTTAAAGAAGTCAATTGGCTGTGGTGGGACATGCCTTTAAACCCAGTACTTGAGAGGTAGAGGATCTCTGTGAGTTCAAAGCCACCCTGATCTACATAGTGAATATCAGAACAGCCAGGGCTACATACAGAGACCCTGTCTCCAAAAGAAAAAGAAGTAAGGCATGATGGTGTGTGCCTGTGACCTCAACACTGAGGAAGCAGAGACAGGAGGAGGATTGCTGAAACTGGCTGGCCAACTTACTTGAATTAGTGAGCTCTGGGTTCAGTGAGAGACCCTGTCTCAAAAAAATAAGGCAAAGAGTCCCCAAGGACATCCAATATGAGCCTCAAACCCAGCTATTGCTGTCTGAGCATTGAGATTGTATCTTGGAGAATCTTTGTGACTGGTTTCTCATTTCACCTTCACAGTGGTGCAGAATGACAGGGATGACCAGAATGGGAAGTGGAGACTGTAGGAAACTATATAGCTGAAACCCAGGTCCAGTTTGAGTCACTTCGGGGCTTAAGGTTCTCACTGATTACTAAGTTACAAATATAGTCAAAACCTTTGTTCTATATTAAAGCATAACTTCCAATCTTCATGAGACATCAGGGTAATTCAAGTGGCTTTTTTTTAAGTTTATTTACTTGGTATGTGTCAAGTTTATTTTATTGTCAGCGCGTGTGTGTGGGGGGGGGGTGCTTGTTCTCTCCTTCCATGATGTGGGTCGTAGGAATCACACTCTTGTCTCAAGGCGGAGCAGGCAGCAAGTGACTTTACCCACTGAGTCATCTCTCCAGCTTCTAAATTCTTTTAAAGAACATTTATTGATTGAATTTGTGTGTGTGTGCATGTGAATGCATGTCTGGGCCTGCATGTGCCATGGTAAGCAGACAGTGGAGGCCAGAGGACACCTGTCTCTCTCCTTCCACCATGTGGGTCGCAGGGATGGAACTCAAATCATCAGTCTTAGGGCCATTGCCTTTATCTAGGGAGCCATCTAGCTGCTTGGCTTGCACGTTTTAGTAAGTGGCTTAGTGTGTCTTTGTTGTGTTTCCAATGTTTCAGGGATGTCAAGGACCCTACCCTGCCGCCAGAGAAGGTGGGAGAAAAGGTGCTGGAGGAGATGAAGAATCTTCAGAGCAAAGTTCTCAATACATACTTGATTCTAGAATAAAAACTACTGTTGCGTCAACTGTCCCCCTTTGCCTCCCAAGGTCACTGAGATCCTCTGAGTCCATTTACATTCAAGCTATTTTTTGGAATTAAAGTTTCTAGAGACAGGAATTGAAATGTGGATGCCTTGCTTTTAAACTATAATTTTTTCTTTCTAAAAATAAAAATATATCATTGTTATGATGGCAACGCTGATTGTTAGTGCAAGACTGTACTGAACAAAGCCTTCCAGAGCAAAACAAGAGTCACCATGACAAGGGAATAAGGGTCAGGGTCTGGGGAGATGGCTCAGTCAGTAAAGTGCTTGGCTTGCAAGCATGAAAACCTGAATTTTATCCCAAGAACCCATGTAAAATGCCATGTATAATGGTACTCTTCTAATCCCAATGTTGGGTTGGTGGGCAAGCGGTTGAGGAAGGGGGAAGATCTCTGAGGCTCAATGGACAGCTGAGACAGGGTTTCTCTGTGTAATAGCTCTGGCTGTCCTGGAACTCGCTTTGTATACCAGGCTGGCTTTGTGCTGGGATTAAAGGAGTGTGCTACCACTGCCCTGCTAGAGAGACCCTGCCTTAAAAAAACAATGTGGACAACATCTTGAGGAATTACACCTGAGGTTGGCCAGTGGCCTACACACACACACACACACACACACACAAAGAGAGAGAGAGAGACAGAGACAGAGAGAGACAGAGACAGAGACAGAGACAGAGAGAGACAGAGAGAGGCAGAGAGAGACAGACAGAGAGAGAGAGGAGAGAGGGAGGGAGGGAGGGAGAGACAGAGAGATATTCCAGGACTCACCCCTTTGATTGGAAACCACAGGAGACCACCAGTACTCAGGATCCCTCCAGCTGCCCATCATCTGTAGGGCAGCCCCCCATTTCTCATCCGGTTGTGGGGCAGGCAGCCTGTTTATCTGAATCTGTTTGGCAGAGAACACTGGCTTCTACTGTGTTGAGGATGTGGCTTGGCTGGTAGAGTGTTTGTTGAGCATGTGTGAAGCCCAAGTTTCACCCCAGCACTGCATAAACTGGGTCCTGCATTTGATGTCTACTTAGCCTCTGTCACCGCACAGGACAAGTCCAGACTATGCTTCTCTAGAACCTGATTCCCTCAAAGTTGAGATTTAACACTGTGTCATTCAGCAGCTCCCAGCCATCAGTTCCTAAGCCTCTGACTGGTTCTGCCTTCCCCCTTTTCTCCCAAGTGCCCAGCATTGTATTCATAAGTGTATTAGTAATTTTTTCATTGCTGTGATAAAAGCAACTTAAGGGAAGAAGGGTTTGTTTTGAATGATGAGCTCAGGGTACAGTCATCATGGTGGCAGGAGGGTGAGGCTGCTGGTTGTATTGCATCCACAGTCTGGAAGCAGAGAGAGATGGATGCCGGTGCTCAGCCTACTTTCTCCTTTTTATTCAGTCCAGAACCTCAGCCCTTGGGATATTGTCACTCACAGTTAGAGTGGGTCTTTCCAATTCTGTTAGCCCAGCCTGAAAACTCACTCATGGACAGCTTTGAGGTTTGTTTGTTTTGTTTTGTTTTGTTTTTTCAATTTTTTTATTAGTTCAAATTAGGAACAAGCTTGTTTCACATGTCAATCCCTTCTCCCCCCCTCCCCCCACTCTTCCCTCTCTACCCGAGACCTACCCCCTACCCCAGCTTTGAGTTTTGTGTATCTGGAGATTCTGGATCCCATCAAGTTGAAGATCAAGATTAACATCACAGCGACTTTCTGGCTCAGGCTTCGTTATATGAACTTGAATGTGTTCACATGTCAGGGTGTGTTTGTGTCTGCCTCCGTTTCCCCACCTATAAGCAAGCACCAATTTCTTTTATTTCACTCCCAGCTTTTCCAGACCTTCCTAAGGTTACCACCCCTTGGAATGGTTGCATTGACTGTGTTGGGGAACCTGTGCCCTCTAGTGGATGTTACAAAAAATACGTCTCTTAACTTGAAAGTTGCAACCTCAGTTCAACTGAGAACCAAATCACCTTCTAGATCGTCCTAAGAGCTTCTCTCCCCATTCCCCCCTACTCCTCCACCCCCCCACTCCGCTTCAGCTCTCTTGTAGATAAAAAGAAGCAGGGAAATGTCACCTGTGTCTTATTCTGCATTCACTATCATGGGTAAAGTTCCTTCAGTGCAGCCATTGGCCATGTGATATTCAGAAGTTCTCTGGATCACTTGCCCAGGTTCTTGGGGACAGTGGATGGAACAAGGGTTGGCATTGTGACTGAGTGACTGGGAACCTCAGGAACAACACTTGCTTCTGGAGATCTGGCAGCTCTCTGTCTCTCATTCTTACTAAGATTGTCCCACCATTCCTGTTAAACTAGGGGCTAATCAGGACACACTAAACTGTACCCTATGGAGAGCCTGCCTGTGAATCTGTAACAAGCACCCAGTATGTAGTACCAGGACTCCAGAAAAGAAAAGCTAAGTTCCAGACCAATGTTACTCAAGTCCATCTGGTACCTCCTGGCCAGTTCTCATAGTCAGGATCCCTGCTGCTATAGAGACACAGACACTCTTCTGAGAGCCTGTGAGTCTATAGGCAGACTCCTCAGGTGTCAAGATTCCTGAAAATAAAAGGCACACTAGAGGCTTACAGACCTCAGATTGCCAGACTCAGGCATGAGGGGGCTAGATGTTAAGGAAATGTACCCCTCCTCCTCACCTCCCCATCATCTAATCACTCATTAGCAAAAGTCCTTCCTGCTCCTGGAGGTAAAAAACACTCCACACCCTTTCACAAAGCCTTACAGTAGGTTTCTTGACTCCCCCAGGAAGTCCAAAATCCCTTCCTTACTCTCTCGCAGCCTCAAGAATCTGCCTAAGTGTGCACTGTTGAATTCAAGACCTTATAGGGTCACAGTCAACAGAAAATCAGCTCTCTCCTCAAAGGAATAAAATACAGATTATTCTGGAGCCAAAAATGTGTCCATGGCCTGGGAACACAGATGTAGATTTCCCCAAATACCACACCATGTATGAGTCTTTTCTTTCAAATAAAGTCTCTGAAGGGTCTCCCTCCCTTAACTTAGGATTGGTGGCTGATTGGCCCACAACTTCTGAAGGATACTGGGAGAAACAGGCAGCCATGTCCTTTGATATGTTAAATAGGCACCTCAGCCATTTGTCCTGGGTTTGAAATTGAGCAGGAACTAGGTGTCCTTGTCCAAGATAGTTGACTTGGGGGGAAGATCAAGGGAGGTTCTGTGACAGGGAAGATGGTTCAGAGCTTCCATCTTGTATTCCTACTGAGGACTGTTGTGCCCAAAATCTGAACCCCGAAATCACCAAGAGGCCCAACCCGTTGTAAAAGCAAAGAGTCTTTTATTGTTTAACAAGTTAACTTGGTTCCTCCATCCATCTGACATAGCGGTTGGGGCAAGAAGGACCGAGGGGCTGGGAATTTATTGGGGTGAGCAAGGGGAGTGTCTAGGGGCCCACAACAGTCTCAGGATTGGTGCACTCCTGAGCTTGGACAACCTGTCAACTACACCTGCAGGAACGGTTGCTATGGTGTATAGGCCCTCCTAGGGCAGTTGTTATGCTCTGCATTCCCCTGTTATCATAAAGCACGTCCAGAGCCTGCCAGCTAACTTCTGATTGGTTCCTTGCCACATGGAGAGTATCTGGCTTCCTAGTGACTAGGAGGCCGGGCAAGGGAGGGAACTCAGCACATGCTGCTGAGTCAGGGGCCTTTGTCTTGCTGGGTCTTTTCTGCAGCCTGCCATGGCTGCTAAAGCAGGGGCTGGGTGAGGGTCTAGTCCCTTCAAGGCCATTTTGGGTTTAACTTGAATTTGATCTCCTTGATGGAAAAACCCCTGGGGAAATTACCCAACTCTATTCTAGGAACCCAAAGTCAAGACTCCCCAGCTAACTTAGCTTCTGTTGAACTGCCTGCTTACGAAAAGCTCTTCCTGCAGCTGCCAAACGAGATACTAGAATGTGGCTTTTGCCTTTAAAAACCTCTTACCCTAAACACTCAACTGATGGGGAATATACTTCTGTGTATGTTCATCTTATTGATTGTTGAATAAAGTACTGTTTGGCCAATGAGGCAGCAAGTTAGATGGGAGTAGGAGTCAAAGAGGCTTATGGGAAATATATTAGAGAAGTGGTGATCCAGGCAGGAAGTGACATAGCAAGGAGACTCATATTTAAGGAAGGACAAGCAGGAAGTGGGCCCTTTTCCCCTCCTCTCTTCCTCCAGATTCGTGATATGATCCACCCACAAGGGAGGACACCAATGGAAGGCGTATGATAAGTCTTATAAAATATATAGATTTATGATAAATAAGACTGAGCTAAGAGATGAGAATCCTAGTCATTGGCCAAGCAGCATTTGTACCTAATATAAGTCTCTGTATTACTTTGTCCATCCACGTGGCAGGCAGAACTCAGGCAGCTGGCAGAGACCGCCCATGTGGCAGTAGGGCTCAGGCGGCTTTTGGTGGAAAGATTTATCATAACACTCAACACTACACTTGGGTCCTATAATACCCAAGTGTGGTCCCAGCCAGCTGTAATAAAGACTTTCAAGTGGCTATAAACTGTGTCTGAATGGTCATCTCTGGTGGGCTCCTAGTAACTGTTTCTGGAGGATTAAGGTTGGTTCCCAGAAAACAGGAACACACCTTAGGAGATCTGCTTTTCTTTTAAACAGAAATTCATCTTTGAGTTTATCTGATAATAGTTCTGTTTATTGTTGCAGAGTATTCGATCATACTGTGACCCCCAAGTTTGTATTTGCATTAAATAAATAAAATCAACATTGGGTCAGGAAGGGGAGCCAGCAACTAGTTGACAAAAAGTAATTAAAGAGAATCAGAGGGAGTCTGGAAGTTGGACAGAAAGACACACAGGAAGTAGTAAGAAAGTAATAGTGTGGCCTTTTTTTGGTTTGGCAGAGTAGAAGGATACTCTCTGAGTTGCAACCTCTTGAGCTAGCAGGTTTTCACCCCAGCCTCTCACTTCCAAGTCTTATTGATAACAAGAACGATGGAGATTTAGTTAAAACTACATTTGGTGGCAGCAGGAGGCAGATAGGGCTGGATGTAAATGTCCTGCTGGGCCACTGAGAGAGAACCTGGC